AGGAAAAAGAATGAGGCTGCTTCTGCCAGGGACAGTCAGCCCAGGAGCTCCAGCTTCCCCAGGCCCTGCTAGCCACCCTGAGGACTGCAAAGGTCACTATCTATCTCCAGCACACCTGCCACTCATTCCCAGTACACACATCTGTTTGGAAGGCCTGGCTACAGCACTGGTTCTCAACCCTTAGCATGCACCAGCACAGCCTTGAGGTTTGTTAAACTACAGAAGTCTAAGCCCCATCCCCAGAGATTCTGATTCAGTAGGTCTGGGATGGGGCCTGAAGCAAAGCGAATGCTAGTAGACTGGAGATCTCACTTTGAGAGCCACTGGCCGGCAGGTAAAGCTTAAACTCCTTAGCACAATGTTCAAAGCCCCTCACAGACTAATCCAGCCCATTTTCAGTTATAGCCTTCATTACAGTATTCACTGTTCCTGATGCCTTTGCACTGTGTGCCTCTTCTGCCTGAGTCTTGCTGCTCCCTTTGCCATCTTTACCTGTCACAGTCCCTCCTTCCTCTAAGAGTCTATGCATTTGTCCACTCCTCGCAAAGCCTCTTCTCATTCTTCTAACCAGAACTCCATCTCCTCTTTGGATGAACGCTGATCTGCTATCCCTCTGTGCGAGAGAATTGTAGCTCTCTATCATACACTTGCTGCTGGGTTTTTAGGGAAGAAAGCACTGAGTTTTACACACAGTAAGTGTTCAGTAAATATGTGTTGAATAAACGGATGTGAATAACTGAATGAAGGCAGGGAAGAAAAGTGTATTATTATTTGTCCTGCTTGGTATGTGATTGAGTCAGTCCTTTTCAGATAACATCTACAGTTAATTAAGTCAAAATAAGACCCACTTTTCAAGCACTTTAGATCTGTAAAATCCCAAAAGTCATTTATGTTTTTTTTTTCTCAGAGCAGACAAATGAGGAGTGCATTAATTCTTAATAGCATACTAAAACCAAACCTGAATTATGTGAGAGAAATAATAAGATCTCTTTGTCTCTCTCTTGTCTGTATGCTTGGGGAGATGGGCCTCCTGGTGTAGAGACATGCAACAGTAAATCCTAGACTTTGCTAAGGAGAAAAGCCCACATTTCCTAGTCGATTTCCTACAGCCTTGACGATTAATAATGGAACCATACAGGACTTAGAACAATAATGAATCTAATTCTTAGTCATTGGTGGTTGGTAGCTGCTAACCTTAACATTTCCTAATCTGAAGACATTTCTCAACCATTAATACTTCGATAGAATGGTAAAATAATGACAAAGAATATTTAAAGGGTTCAAACAGTACCTGACCCATTGTTGCCCCTTGATGAACAGAAAATAATATTATTTTGTATTTATCCAGATACCATTAAATTTGTTAAATTTTATGTGGAAGACCTGAGGCAAGAAATATCTCACCCAAGATATTTCATGAAATTTGGCCTTCAGTTCAATTTTGGACTTAACTTTGTCATTTACCAGTGCTATGGTCTTGGACAAGCTTACAATTTTTCATCTATAAAATGGAAATAATAAGAGGGCCTATCTAATAGGTACTTTTGGAATTATTAAATGAAGTGTTCTATATAAGGTTCTGAGAATATCACCTGACACATGGAAACACAGAAATAATATGAGCTATACAAATAAAAACTTACCTAGAGCTTCATCCCTTTCTTTTAAAATTAATTAATATTTACAGTTTCAAGAGCTTAGCATGGCTTTAACTTCAGTAGCAATATCTTAAAAGTGCACATGATGGAGAGGTTGCTCCATGCAGAATAGACCAGCCATTCTATAGTAAAGATTATATTATCATTAATTTACCACTTATGTCCTTGCTTGAGAGGAAAGGCTAAATTATACATATATATTAATTAGATACAGAAAGAGATTAATATATAGATTTACATATGTATGTGTAGGTAGATATGTTTATTTGTTGGTTGGTTGCTTTATCATGCAGCTATTCTATTTGGGGGAACAATTTTAATGCAAATATTAAAGAGAAAAATATCAACATAAAGATAAAATAACAGTAACCTTCATATTTCCTAGACTGTACATTAAATAAAAAAAATCATCAGACATCCAAGTGCACTGAGAAGCAACAATAGCAGTTTCTCAAAGAGGAAAACTATGTACACATACACACACACACCCATACACACACACAGAACAGCAAACTCCCCCGATTTCACGGACTTTTCATTAGCAAAACAAGCTTTCTGCAGAGGAAATGAAAAAGGAGAGGACTTTTCATAATGTGGAAACTGTCCATGTGAGAGGAACAGATGCATTCGACAAGGATGGTAAGTCAGATGCAGTCTAAAAGTCGAGTGAGTCAACATTGAAATAATCATCAAACCTTTCCTCAGATAGAAATGGGGGCAAAAGGAAAATAGCCATGGTGCAAAAGACATATTCATGTGGCGATGACTTAGCAGCAGTGGACAGGAAGCTGCTAAGAATAAGTTGTGTAGCCAGAGACGGAGAGGGAAGGAGCTGGCCTTGCCCTCCCTCAGGTCCTCTCCCTCTGGCCATCTTTCTCTTTCACCAGAGGCGCCCTTTGTGAGGACCTCCTTGCCTCTCTTACAGTGTCCAGTTTACTCTGGATGTCCTCCTCTGTTCTCACCTGGCTTCTTCCTAACAGACGAGAATGCAGAAATTATAACTTTTTGAGGTATTTATTTAGTAAAGTGGGTTTCTTTGTTTGTTTGTTTGTTTGTTTGTTTTTGAGACGGAGTCTCGCTCTGTCACCCAGGCTGGAGTGCAGTGGCACGATATTGGCTCACTGCAACTTCCAACTCCCCAGTTGAAACAATTCTCCTGCCTCAGCCTCCTGAGTAGCTGGGGCTACAGGCATGTGCTGCCATGCCCGGCTAATTTTTGTGTTTTTAGTAGAGCCAGGGTTTCACCATGTTGGTCAGGCTATTCTCAAACACCTGACCTCAAGTGATCTGCCAGCCTTGGCCTCCCAAAGTGCTGGGATTACAGGCTTGAGCCGCCGCACCCAGCCCTTTAGTGAAGTTTTATTCTCTGTGCTTAATTTAATAAAAATCAGGTTAAATTTCTTCTCTATCTTTCTTTTAAAAAGCTTCTTTTTTATTTCTGTATAGCAAAGCATTTTATGTATATACACATATATATATTTAGTGTACATTTTTATATATGTGGATATATACATATTTTGCATACACATACCTGTGTATATAGAGATGTATACAAACACATATGTAAATTGTAGACACACACACACACACATTGCTCAATAGAAAAAAATTTTAACTCCACATTGCACAATGAAAGAAAACAAGGTGATTAATTTTGGCAACTATATTTTCCCCAAAATATTGCATTAAATTATCTTTTACAGATACAGGTTTGGGTGTTTATGATGACAATGTCTAATTTTTAACACTGTTCTGCCAATACTACAAGAAAAATTACTTTGAATAATCTTATTTAGGTACTAAGCAGTTGTAATTAACTCCTTCCTATATATTCCATTTATTCTGACAACGAAAATGTGTAGCTCAAGCTTGTTATCATATGCAAGTCCAGGATTTAGTAGTATAATTCCTGTCTTAGAATTGACCTTCATGTCATTTTAATTTTTAGACTATTTGGTGTTCTCAAAAGCAAATAAAGGACCAATGTAATATTTAAAACACTTGACAAATGTAACAAACAGGTGACAAATTCAAAATAGAAAAATCTATGTTTCATTAGGGCAAAAGAAGAGAGCAACATATGGTAATATAATTAGTCTGCTTAGGAAAACACATCCACAGAATATATGCTGCTGGAGAAATATAACAGGAGACTCACTCGTCTACTGCAAGGCCTTGAAAAATGTAGGTCTCTGTAAACAATAAAGAAAGAAAAAATATTCTTCTCTAATTATTAAAGAGATGTTCAACCATCTGCAAACTATTTTTTAAGTTCTTGTTGTTCCCTTCCTTTGATTCCTATCAAGCCATGTTGTACCTTTGCTACTTTTGAGAATAGTGGGACTTTGAAGTCAATTAAACTCATTCCTCAGCTTGAAGGGAACAGCAGGTAGAATGTTGTCTTTGGCTCCTCATTAAGTAGTATATTGTTCCTTTCAATGATCTAATATCTGCAGCATAATCCACAATTCCGCATGTAGGTCTCGGTGATTATGCTTTTTCATATTATTTTTATTATTTTGGCAATACGAAGTCTAGGAGTAGGAACTAAAAGTTAGTACTTAAATCCTGGGGCAAGTAGGGAGGATACTGATAATGAACAATTTGTGAAATTATTTTTATTTTTGTTTTGCAACTTATGAGAAATCAAGAAAGGGAAACAAATTAAAGATCAATGCCTTGTTCTTTTAGAAAAGATTATATCTAAGATTGTCATAAGCTCAGCAATTCTCTCATTTTACGTCATAAAGGTTATTTTTAAAATATAGATTTAGACATAGGAAACATTTTTAGATGAACCAAATGCTTTTTTTAAAGTTTCAAATTTACTTCTTTTATTTCTTTCTTTTACTTCTTTACTTTCTTTATTATTCATTTATTATTTACTTCTTTATTTACTTTCTTTTATTTCTTATAGGCCATCTCAGTTTGAAGTAGAACTCAGAGTTTTCTTCCCACCTTAGCCTCGTTAGCAAAAGTATCTGCCTATGCTTTATGTCTGAATTGCAGGAAGTTTAGCTCTAAGTCAATATATAAGACAGTATAAGAAAGAATAAAAGTCTATGGCTCCTAAGGAGAATGGGCTTTTCTATCCTAAAATCTATCACAACTCAAACAGGTCAGAAGCTAGTTAGTGGAAGGGTTTGTTGGATTATTGGTTCATTTGAGGCCACTTATTTTCTTTGGACTCTAGTTTTCTTATCTATTACACAAATCCTACCTGTCATACATATTTAATATGATTATTAACAGAGAAACATAGGTGAAGCTACTTAATTAATTATAAATAATTGAACAAATCGTTACTAGCAGGATGGCAATGACAATAAAATAGCCTTTTCATTTTTAGAAGTCTGCTGTTTAATTCAGTAGTTGGCAGGTAGTAGACTATCAATAAAATTTGTGGAACTAAATTAAATCAAGACCAATGGAATTTGAAAAAGAAACAAAGCAACAAGTAAACACAGTGGAATTTGAAAAAGAAACAACAAAAAATGTGTTTGAAAGACTTCCTCTTGTAAGAGAAGGCTCGGATTCCAGAATTAGAAAAACTAAAAATGAATCACTTAAAATTTACCTAAACTCGCTCGCCCCGTCGTGGGCGGCGCGCGGGTCTCCCCGTGGAAGTGAAGATATTTTTTTTTTTAAATAATAAAAAAAAGAAGAGAAAAAAAAAGTTAAAAAAAAAAAATTTACCTAAACTCAAGATTCCTTTTTTAGTAGTAGAGAGAAATAAACTAAAACCACAGGGAAGAACTTGGCAAATGGTGTAATATAAATTATTAGAAAAAAAAGCGATTAAGTGAAGAAACAGCTTCCGAAAAACATGTCAATACTTATGTATAAAATATCTAAAGTGCTTCAGGAGGTAATCCAGTAGGAAGCAATGTGGCATCATGATGGAATTGGAGGTGATGTTTGTTTTGTGTTGGGATTTTTCCAAGCTCAAGTAGAAGCACAGCACTAACAAGTCAACTTCTGGTTGTTATCAATTCATTTTGCACCTGGAGGAGAAAAAGAAAATACTTCAGAACACAGTGGAAACTTTCCAGAGGATTTAATACCATGTCATGTAAATCTCTGTAAAGGGAAAAATCTGGTATGCAGCACTTAGTAGCAACAAAGCTTGTGTGCTAGGATAGAGTCAATTATCCAGTTAGTGATTTGTAAGAAGAAAGTTTTCCTGGAAGAACTTCTAAATTTTAAAAACAAACAACAAGCAAAAAACTAATCGTCACTATTTAGATCATTTTCTAAAGGGAAATTTTAAAAGACAGAAATCAACTGGTTACAATGCTCATTTTATTACATACATACATACATACATACATACATATGCATGTGTGTGTTCGTGCATTTCTAACTCAAGCAATTTTATTCTGTTGGCTGTCCTACAAGCACACAGATATCTTTTCTCTTCTGAGCCCATATTCTCACAATACTGCTGCTTTCCAATCTCTTCTTTTCTCCTTTACGACTTGCCTGCAGTTCTTGAAAGAAAATTAGAAAGGAGATCTTAGAGTCAGAGGGGCCCTGACAAGATTATCTGATCTTCTATTGTATAATTCTCCATGTTTTACTGAGCAGAAAACTCAGTTCTAGACTGGTTAAAGGACTTGCCCAATGTCACACAGTTTTGATAAAAAGGAGACACTACCTTTTGCAATATTACCTTGTTTTATTTCCTTCCAGAAATTTATCATTATCAGAAGTGATTTCATTACTTTATTAGTTTACATGCATTTGACTGTGTTCAAACACTAAAATATACACCCATGAGTTTAAGGACTCTGACTATCTTATTAATACCTAGAATCCCCAGCACTTAAACAATGTTTAGCATGTCATAGGTATTCATATATATTTATTGAATAATGAACCTGAATTTTGGTCTTGTGTTTGTAAACGATGCCTTTTAAAACTTTACCAAATAATCTTGTGAAAAACAGCATAGAATAGTTAATAATATCTGACTGGTTCTATCCAGCCCACATTACCTAATATATGCATTTTTAATTAGCAAAAGGCCTATAGAATGTTAATATTTTTAACTCCTTAACAAATATGAATAGTCTGTGGTTCATTTAAATGCCTTAAGGAGGAAGAAAATCCCAAAACTCTGTTCACTTGGGAATCAGATAGTGCTGAACGTTCAACAAATACCTATGCTCACTTTCACAATGAGAACCCTAATTTAGCTGGGATGTGGCAAGGCACCTGGTTAAAAATATTTACTTTCTCCAACACCGTTACATCAAGGGATAGTCCGGTGACACAGTTCTGGCCCATGAGACAGTAGTTGAAGGTTTCTGAAAAAGTTTTGCTTCTTTGCTATTGGTTCCTCCCCCTTTTCTTCCCACTGTTCTTTCTACTTGGACCGACCAGATGCCTGGAGCAGCAGCTTGGTTGAGATGTGAGTTTATAACTCTGAGAATGTTAAGGAAAATGAAAATTGCCTGTTCCTTGTTGGTGTCTTGATTCACTGTTCCAGTTCTAGACATTTTATGTCTTGACATAAATATACCTCTACACCATTGTTGGCTGTTTTTTTTCTTTTATTTGCTGCCAAATAATTTTCTACATAACACGATTTTGAACTTTCTAAGTGTAAATTTGAAGAAAAATTGTCTAGGCCTCACTTTCTCTACCTGTAAAATGAAGAGCATAGACTAGAACTCTGACTCATTTTCCAGCTCAGAAAATGCTAGCGCCTCTAGACTGCTCTCACCTCTTGAAAACAAAGTCATGGTAATGTGCTCCACAAACCTTACGAGTTTATGTCAATAAACTTCAGCTGGACTTTTGGTAACTGTCTGCCTTGTAAGTTAACACTTGTTCAGAAGAATTATGTGCTGAATATACTCTAATATTCTGTTACTTTTAGGATGCTAATATAGTAATAATTTTATATACTGCTGGGATTCTCTCTATGTTCATTCCTTCAAGTTAGCTTCATTGTTACTGAAATTCTGAGAAAAGGGAAAACCCTGTTAAGTCATGTTTGTAGAGTAAGAAATTAAAAACAAAGATGAATCCATTATCATTTTAATTTACTTCATCAAGAATTTTTCCCTTGTCTGCAAGTTACAAATTCCCTCCTTTGCCTACTTTTCTCTCTAATCCATTCTCTTGTTCATCTTCCCTCTATAGCCCAAGTCTCCATTGCCTGCATGAAATATATTATTATACTCAGTAGGGGAAGTGACTGCACCCCTACACACAATGTCTGTGTCCACAAAATAAATGTCAAGGAAAGACCTACAGTTGAGTGGTAGCCTCTTTACAAGATGTCATCAGGCACCTATCATTCATGTAGATTATTTCACAATTTACAGGACAATGCTGCATTGCTGTATGAATTATGTTAGATGTTTACTACTTAAAATGTCATTTAAAATCGAACATTCCCCCCAGCATTTTTATAAAGCTCTTCTCTGATATAGTTCTTCAAAATGTTATGATGTTATAAAATCTAATGATTTTGTTAACATAGACAAAATAGACATTTCAGCGACATAGACATTTGTTATTTAATTAATGCAACTAATGGAGCTTTGAGGACTGGTTTTTGGAATCACTGACTTAGAAAATAAGTAAGGGCATTTCTTCTACATTCTGTTTACTCAGAGAAAGCAACTACTAAAAATTGTATATGTATATAAACACTTTAATGTGAGTAGACATGCTTTTTCTATTATTCATTTTGCAATTAAACTGCTTTTTGATAGTAGCTGAAAAAAACATATAAAGACTTTAAAAAAATACAACATACATGATTTATTTATGAATGCATAAATCTATATCACAGTTAAATGAACTCTGTGATACTTACACTTAAGTTGTTTGCTATGACAATATTTTTAAAAAGTACTTCCCTAAATGACCACAATAGAAAGTTGGAAAGATCTAAAATTGACACCCTAACATCACAATTAAAAGAAGTAGAGAAGCAAGAGCAAACACATTCAAAAGCTTGCAGAAACCAAGAAATAACTAATAGCAGAGCAGAAGTGAACGAGATAGAGACACGAAAACCCCTTCAAAAAATTAATGAATCCAGGAGCTGGTTCTTTGGAAAGATTAATGAAATAGATAGACTGCTAGCCAGACTAATAAAAGAGAGAAGAATCAAATAGACACAACAAAAAATTATAAAGGGGATATCACCACTGATCCCACAGAACTATAAACTACCATCAGAGAATATTATAAACACCTCTACACAAATAAACTAGAAAATCTAGAATAAATGGATAAATTCCAGGACATATGCACTCTCCCAAGACTAACCTAGGAAGAAATCGAATCCCTGAATAGACCAAAAACAAGTTCTGAAATTGAGGTAGTGATTAATAGCCTACCAACCAAAAAGCCCAGGACCAGATGGATTCACAGCCAAATTCTACCAGAGATACAAAGATGAGCTGGTACCTTTCCTTCTAAAACTATTCCAAACACAGAAAAAGAGGGACTCTTCCCTAACTCATTTTATGAGGCCAGCATCATCATGATACCAAAACCTGGCAGAGACACAACAAAAAAAGAAAATTTCAGGCCAATATACCTGATGAACATCGATGCGAAAACCCTCAATAGAATACTGCCAAACCGAATCCAGCAGCACATCAAAAAGCTTATCTAGTATGATCAAGTCAGCTTCATCCCTAGGATGCAAGGCTGGTTCAACATACACAAATCAAAAAACATCATCCACCACATAAACAGAACCAATGACAAAAACCACATGATTATCTCAATAGATGTAGAAAAGTCTTTTGTTAAAATTCAACACTCCTTCATGCTAAAAACACTCAATAAACTATGTATTGACGCAACTTATCTCAAAATAATAAGAGGTATTTATGAGAAACCCACAGCCAATATCATACTGAATGGGCAAAATTCTACCATTCCCTTTGAAAACCTTGTCTTGTGCAGCAAGACAAGGATGCTCTCTCTCACCACTTCTATTCAACATAGTATTGGAAGATTTGGCCAGGGCACTCAGGCAAGAGAAAGACAAAGGTATTAAAATAGGAAGAGAGGAAGTCAAATTATCTCTGTTTGCAGATGACACAATTATATATTTAGAAAACCTCATCATCTCAGTCCAAAAACTCCTTAAGCTGATAAGCAACTTCAGTGAAGTCTCAGGATACAAAATCAATTTGCAAAAATCAGAAGCATTCCTATACACCAATAATAGACAGAGAGCAAAAATATAAGTGAAGTCTCATTCACAATTGCTACAAAGAGAATAAAATACCTAGGAATGCAACTTTCAAGGGATATGAAGGGCCGCTCCAAGGAGAGCTACAAACCACTGCTCAAGGAAATAAGAGAGGACACAAACAAATGGAAAAACATTCCATCCTCATGGATAGGAAGAATCAATATCATGAAAATGGCCATACTGCTCAAAGTAACTTATAGATTCAATGCTATTCCCATCAAGCTCCCATTGACTTTCTTCACAGAATTAGAAAAAACCTACTTTAAACTTCATATGGAACCAAAAAAAGAGCCCTTATAGCCAAGACAATCCTAACAAAAAGAACAAAGCTGGAGGTGTCACACTACCTGACTTCAAACTGTATTACAAGGCTACAGTAACCAAAACAGCATGGTAGTGGTTCCAAAACAGATATATAGACCAATGGAACAGAACAGAGGCCTCAGAAATAATGCCACACATCTACAACTATCTGATCGTTGACAATCCTGACAAAAACAAGCAATGCGGAAAGCATTCTCTATTTAATAAATGGTGCTGGGGAAAACTGGCTAGCCATATGCAGAAAACTGAAACTGGATCCCTTCCTTACACATTATGCAAAAATTAACTCAAGATGGATTAAAGATTTAAATGTACAACCTAAAATCCTAAAATCCCTAGAAGAAAACCTAGGCAATACCATTCAGGACATAGCGATGGGCAAAGTTTTCATGACTAAAACACCAAAAGCGATGGTAACAAAAGCCAAACTTGACAAATGGGATCTAA